TTGTTATCAGCGAGCGAGCTATCTAAGAAGTCAGGCCCCATGTGCTGCATTAAACTTAGACACTCTCCAGTCAGTCAGTCAGTCACAGTCTCTGGTTCCTTCTCTCCCACTTCCTCAACCCCTTCCTCCTTTCTCCATCTATGTATTAATGTACTTTAATGCTACTGGCATTCCTGTTTCTCTCTTGCTCATATCCCAGCCCAGTCCGGAAGTTATGGATCCCAACTCAAGAATTTTAGTAGAAGTCCAGTGAGTGATGTTGATGTATCTGAGGCTCCTACCCCATTGAGATGAGCTGGTGAGGGAGAAGCCCATCTCCTTTGGCAGGGATGCCCCCCCCAACCCACACCTGAGCACCCTGTTGGCTTCCACATTCCCCTCCCTTTGAGTGTTCATTCAAGACTCCAAAATGACTCCAAGGTCTATCAACTCCAGAGGCAAAGAAGGGAATCTAGTCACATCTTTCTTGAGCCCGAACCTTCTATCTTGCTTTCCTGCTGCTTCTATTTGTAATTTTCCCTAATGCTACCTGAAATGCCCTGGGAGAACTTCTTTGTCATTCTGAACTCCATCTAGCCTGAAATCCTTCTCTAAAGCTCCGATATCTTGGGGGTACAATCAAACTCTGACATCCCTTCCTCCAAGGTGGAATGCAGGACAGCAGGCTAGATCAAGTTCACCTGTGATGCCCTAACAAAATGCCAAGCATTGACATTTACCATCACTTCCCCTGTATTACTCCCCATGAAGACCAGTGGCTGCAGCCTTCTATGCTAACGAAGAATGGCACAGACTTTTGCCTCTAACATTGTTCTTATTGCCCATTAGCCCTAAATCCCTTCTGAGGATTAAACCATGCCTCTCAGCATAATTGTCCATTTTCCAAAGAAACATGGCTACTGTTCCCACAGCCTCTCTTCACAGGCGGCTAAATGAAAAGTCCATGGGCTTTGGGACTGGCAGGCCTGTGCTAAATCCCAGTTCCACTCAGCTTTATTCTGAGGCAGCTTCCTTACCACTGGTTTCCTTATTTGTAAATGGGAATAATTCCTACCTCCTACAATGTTTGTGAACATCAGTGCCTCTCTACACTCCTGACACACCCAGTTTCCATTTCAGCCCTCCAGCTAAATCCGTCACATCAGTCCTGACAAGGTATGTATGATTTGGTAATTAACTTTAGACACAGCTTAAAATCCCAAAGTATAAAGATCATACATCTGATAGACTCCTTCCTTCTTCTGAAAAGGAAAGTTTGGAAACTGTTGTAAGTATTTGAGAAACCAAGCCAAAAGAAAAAAAAAAAAAGGAAATAATACATTCCCTTTGTTAACTACAGAACCTCTAGCCCCAGTAACACACAGTGACAGACACATCAATCTGAAACATAGAAATTATGGTTCCACCACTTACCTGCTTACCTTCTCCTTTGTAACGGTCAAGAATCAGAGAATCTTCGAAACCCTCAAGACTCCCTCCCCGCTTTTTTGAAGAGGAAACAAAAGGTCCAGAGAGTTTAAGTGGCATATTCCAAGTTGCACAGCTAGTTAATGACAGGCAGCTGAGTAACTTGAGCTCAATGGTTAAACACAGCAAACTGAGTAACTCATGACATTATTAGAGGAGAGGTACCATACTGCAAGGCTGTAGTTCACAGAACCTCAGCAGGCTCTATGTATATGCTGGGAATCTCAGCATATTTATTAAACATAATAATATATGCATTTACTGCCAATAGGATTTCACATCTTTGGTGGATTTTCTTAGAGCTTCTGAATTCTGAACCAGGGCCATCAAACAGACCTTTGCAAGAAATGGAAATGCACACAGTCCAGCATGGGAGGCCTCAGCTGTAGGTGCCTACTGAGCACTGGAAATGTAGCTAGTGCAGATGAGGGACTGAATAATTAAAATTTAGGATTATATTTTTATTGTGGTAAAGGACACACAAAATCTACCATCTTAACCATTTTTAAGTGCACAGTTCAATGGTATTAAATCATTTATAATGGGCAACCATCACTGTCATCCATATCCACAGCTCTTTTCATCTTGTGAAACCAAACTTCTATTCCAGCGATTTTTAACCCGTGTGCTGCAAGAATTTTTTTTAACATTTTTTTTTTCCTTTATTGATTTTAGAGAGAGAGGAAGGGAGAGGAAGAGAGCGATGGAAACATCAATAAAAGAGAGCATCAATTGGTCTCCTCCTGCATGCCCCCCACTGGGGATCGGGCCCACAACCTGGGCATGTGTCCTGACTGGGAATCAAACCGGCGACCTCTTGGTGCATGGGTTGACACTCAACCACTGAGCCACACCAGCCAGGCATGCTGTAAGAATTTTTAAAACATCAATACCTGACTCTTTAGTCAGGGGCACTGACATCTTTCCCCTTAGATGTCAAATTTAAAAAATGACAATAGCCACCCTGGCCAGTGTGACTCAGTGGTTAGGGCGTCAACCCACCGACCAGAGAGTCCGGAGTTCGGTTACTGCTAAGGGCACGTACCTCGGCTGCAGTTCGTTCCCAGTCCCGGTTGGGTCGTGTGGGTGGCAACCCCTCAATGTCTCTCTCATGTTGATGTTTCTCTCTCTCTCCTCCTCTCTCTCTACCTGAAGATAAATGTAAAACTGTCCTCAGGTGAGGATAAAAAAAAAAAAGAAAAAGAAAAATGACAACAGCCAACACAACAATAGCCGTCCAGTGTGAATGAATAAAAATTATAGCTATTTTTGGTCAAATATATTTTTTGGTGTGCCGCACAATTTTAGTAACTAGTCTCTGTGTGCCAAGAGATGAAAAAGGTTGAAAATCGCTGCTCTGTGCCCATTCAACACTAATTCTCTATTCTCTCCTCTCCCCAGCCCCTGACAACTACCATTCTACTTTCCGTCTATAAGACTTTTGACTATTTAAGTGGAATCACACAGTATTTGTCTTTTTGTGACTGACTTATTTCACTTAGTATAATGTCCTCAAGGTTCATCTACTTTGTAGCATGTGTTAGAACTTCCTTCTTCTTCAAGGCTGAATAATATTCCATTGTATGCATAATACCGCATTTGCTTACCCATTTATCTGTTGATGAACAGAGGCTGCTTCCACATTTTAGCTATTATTAATAATGCTGCTATGAACATGGGTGTACAACTATCTCTTCAAGACCCTCCTTATGATTCTGGGTGTATAACCAGAAGACTAATTACTGGAACATATGGTAATTCTATTTTCAGTTTTTGAGGAACCTCCATACTGTTTTTTCCGTATCAACTGAACCATTTTATAGTTCCACCAACAAAGAGCACTAAGTTTCCCATTTATCCATATCTTCGCCAATGTTATTTTGTGGGGTTTTTTAAATAGTAACCATCTTAATGTGTTGGTCGATATCTCATTATAAGATGGTATCTCAATGTAGTTTTCATTTGCATTTCCCTAATGATCAGTGATATTTAGCATCTTTTCACGTGTATGTTGGTCATTTGTTTAACTTCTTTGGGTGAATGTTTTAATTTCATTTCATTATAATCAATTTAAAGTTTGCCCTGGCCAGTTTGGCTCAGCGGTTAGAGCGTTGGCCTGCGGTCCGGAGAGACCTGGGTTCGGTTCCTGCTAAGGGCATGTACCTCGGTTGCAGTTTGTCCCCGGCCCTGGTTGGTCGTGCGGGTGGCAGCCACTCGATGTGTCCCTTTCACATAGATGTTTCTCTCTCTCTCTCTCTTCCTCTCTCTCCCTCCCACTCTATCTGTACAAAAAATGGAAAAATGTCCTCGGGTGAGGATTAAAAAGAAAAAAATTAAAGTTAAATAGCTACCTGTGGCCCGGCCAGTGTGGCTCAGTGGTTGAGCATCAACCCACGCACCAAGATGTCGCTGATTCGATTCCCGGTCAGGACACATGCCCAGGTTGTGGGCCTGATCCCCAGTGGGAGGCATGCAGGAGGCAGCCAATTGATGTTCTCTCTCATCAATGTTTCTACTTCTCTCTCCCTCTCACTTCCTTTCTCCCTAAAATCAATAAAGAAAAAAAAATTTGCCCTGGCCTGTTTTGCTCAGTGGTTAGAGTGTCGGCCTGCGGTCCAGAGAGACCCGGGTTCGGTTCCCACTAAGGGCACGTACCTCGGTTGCAGTTTGTCCCTGGCCCTGGTTGGGTGGTGTGGGTGGAAACCACTCAATGTGTTCCTTACATGTTGATGTTTCTCTCTCTCTCTCTCTCTCTCTCTCTCTCTCCCTCCCACTCTATCTGAACAAAATATCAAAAAAAGTCCTTGTCTAAGGATAAAAAAAAAAAAAAAAGAAAAATTTTTAAATAGCCACCTGTGACTAGGGGCTTCCATATTGTACAGTGCAGCTCCAGGCCATCATGATGCTTGAGGTAATTTGGAGACCCAGTGCAATAAGCTCAGTGAGCTCTGGAGGCAGATAAACCACTTCAGATACTTTTTAGTTCTGTAGATTTAGTCAGTCACTTAAACTTCCTACACCTCAGTTCTCACATGTGTTAAACAGGACTAATACCTCCTACTGCCGAGAATGCAATGAGGTGAATTAACATACATGTAGCTGCTGGTACAGTGCTAGTACCCGGGAGAGAACATTTAAGCCAGTGCGACATGCCTTCCCTGACTTCCCAGTGCCCACTGAAACGTGATCCAAATGGACTGCAGTCATTTGCCAGAGAAATGGACTTTTAGTTCTAGAAAACAAGGATCTTTAGCTGTCACCAAAAGGACCCAAAAATGGAGGAGTGGATTGAGATGAAATCTGGAAAATCTCACTCCTCTGACATTCTGTGATTCTGACTCTGTCCAGATTCAGTCTTGGCTAATTACCAACAGAAAAGTAAAGCTATTGAAGACCTGCAGAGGAAGAATCCTTGAAGGAAATCCTCTGATGTGGGATGTGGCTCAGGATGGTCCTGAGACTGTTTTGTGGCCACGGCCCTTCTTCTACCCTCATGCTCAGCCACAGTGTGAACCCCGGGTCCCCCAGGTTACCTGCAACTGCAGCGGTCGCGGTGCTGACTGGTGGCAGCGGTGGTGGTGGTGGTGGTGGTGGTGGTGGTGGTGGAGGCTGCGAGGAGCCACTGTTCTCGGTCATCAGACAAGGGTTGTTGCCATTGTTCTCTCTCTTGACAAGCAGCTCAGCCGCAGTGGGCAGCGGGATGGGGTGGCTGATCCCCAGTTCCTCCTCCTGGGCCTGCTGCCTTCGCAGGGCCACCTGGAAGCACAGGGCAGCAGGTCATCCTCCAGCACACCATGAGCATCACTTGTGCAGCCCCACCCACCCAGACATCATGATTCATTAGCTCCAGGTTGAGGCCTGAGAACCTCTCAATTCCACTTAACTATCAGGTGCAGCCGAAGCTGAGAAGTGGTTTAGAGCCAGGGTGTCTGGCCCACAGTAGGTGCTCAAAAAATGTTCATTAAACAAATTAGTATGTAAATTAGAAGGAGATAAGATTGGCTAGGGAGAATCAGGAAAAATTATAGTCAGCCAAGCAGAGGAGTTCAATCTGCAGAGAAGTCAGCACTGATCAATCAGGAAGGCAGGATAATGGGATCACTCACTCCTTCAGTTCCACAATTTGTACAAGGCCATTGTACTGGGGACAACGACCAGCAAGATACAGTAAGACTAGATTATATCCCAAGGTACTCAGTGTTTAAAAGGAGAAACAGGCCCTGGCCAGGTGGCTCAGTTGGTTGGAGCATCACCCAGGACACCAAAAGGTTGCAGGTTCAATTGCCGCTCAGGGCACACACCTGGGTTGCAAGTTCAATCCCTGGTCCGGGCGTATACAGGAGGCAACCAATTGATGCTTCTCTCACATCAATGTTACACTCACTCTCTCTCTCTCCCTCCTCTTCTCTCTCTAAAAATCAGTAAGAAAACAAAGAACTCATGGACAATAGTGGTGATTGGGGGGGGGGGGTGGAGGTGGAAGAGGGCATAGAGGGGATACATGGTGATGGAAAGAATAAAATAAAAATATATCCTCGGGTGAGGATCAAACATAAAGAAATGAATGAAAATCTTAAAAAGGAGAAACAAGAGGCAGATAAGCATGGAACTCTAGACAGAATGTGACCAACACCACAGGAGAGGTACACACCAATCCTACAGAAGAAATTCAGAGACAGAAATGGCTTCAAGTGTAAGAATCAGCCAGAGGCGGTACTGGAGCTGAGCCTATTGGAGCAGAGCCTTGAATATTAGGTTGAGTAGGGCTTAGACAGGTAAGGATGAAGATGCAGAACAAGGGACCGGGGTGGGCAGGAAAGGCGGAGGCTGCTTAGGAAAAACCCTTCAGAGCCTGGGTGGAGGGAGCATATGGAGAAGTAATGGGGAAGAGGGCTGGAAGCTGGTGGTTAAGTCCCTGGAGAAGGGAGAGGCTGGAGACGGAGAGAAAGGGAGAGGACAGGTGGATACTCCAGGCAGGGAAGGAGGAGGCAGATGCAGGCAGAAGGAGATGGCAAGGGCCTCACATACCTAAGAAACTCCTCATGGTCCCTCTTCAATTTATCTTCTTTTAAAATATTGTTAAAGGTTGATAAAAGAGGTGTAAAGAAAATAAATTATATATTTGCTGACTACATGTAACAAAAAAGGGAGACTTTCTGTTGAAATTGACTCTTGGTGATGATAAAATGAGAGAGTACCTGTACCTCAGAGTCCCAAAGACAAACCAATAGTTGAAATCAAAATGATAAACTGGAAGCACAAATACAATTTATATATTGTTTTAGGAAAACTATAGTCCAAATTTAGAAAGATGATTAATTTGGAAGTAATTTTTCTCTTTACAAGAGGAGTCTTCAACTTATAAAAAGGAAAAAGAATACTTAAATAATTAAGATTAAATACGTTTAAATCTTGGATTTTCTATTACTAACCAAGAAGTTTAGATATAAATGATCTGATCAGAAATAATAAAAAATACCCACAAAGCTGTGCAGTATGTCAATGCCTACCTATACCTCAATTTGCACAAATCACATGCATGCACAAAACACACAAAATACTCCATAAACTAAAGACACTTTTATAAAGACCTCTCCAGGGTTCTTAGGAAATGTTATTTATTTATTATCTTCACCCGAGGACATTTTTCCATTTTTTGTTCAGATAGAGTGGGATGGAAAGAGAAGAAGAGAGAGAAACATCCACGCGAAATGGACACATCGAGTGGTCGCCACCGAGGTGCGCGCCCTTAGCGGGAACCGAACCCGGGTCTCTCTGGACCGCAGGCCGATGCTCCAACCGCTGAGCCAAACCGGCCAGGGTGTTAGGAAATGTTATTTAAACAGGTAAAGTGAGGCAATTGATTTTAAAAAACGCAATTATTTTAGAGTCATATCCAAGATCACTTTCAAACTATTTTAAAAAGGACTAAAAAACCAAATAAACCGCTGTTACATGAATTTGAAAGGTTTCATCTAACACAACAAAAGCCTTCTGTTGCGAAAAACACTTAAATTTCGTATTACAAAAGTAATCCCGAGTTGCTTTTGTTTTTAACATCACAGCCTTCTCCCAACTCAGTGCTCCTACTAATAAAGGTTAATTCTAAATGAAGGGCCCTACTCCGATAAATATTTTATTATATTTTGAGGAAAGTTCTCCTAAGCATAGCGCCGCACTATTTAAGCCAACGACCAGATGTTCAGAATATTTTTCTTCTTACAAATGCAATTTAAATGTTCACCAGTTTTTTCTTTCAGTAAGCTTGTTGTGATGCATTTTAACGCTATATTCAGTTTACTCTTTTCCTCCGCTACAGACTAAGCCAAAACCCTATAAAGAAACCAAGAAAAACAACCTGTATTTTCCACGAGCGCACTCACACACAACCTATGAAACCAAAATTTAGTTTAAAACGCGTTTTAAAAAATGTATATAAAAGTATAATCTTAAAAGCATTCGTGCGGTCCTGCTGAACACGCATCAAATCATTTCCAACGGAGATTTACACCTTCCTACCCAAAAGCAGCACGTCGCTGGCCAACATTTCTTGGGTATCTTTGCATTTCCAAAAACCTGTCTGAAAAGGATAAAACTTTTAGCCGGGGAAAAAAAAAAAAGTACATTATTCTCTTCTAAAATCCTTTTAGGATACCAACGACCCTTACTATTTCCGCTACGATGTTCAATTGCTGTCGTGGATTTGCCGCTTTAAAAGGAAAAAAAAGAACCGTGGACGACAGACGAAGCTCCAGGCCCAGCTCTTCTCCCCTGCGCGCATCTGGCGAGCAAGCCGGGAGCGCCCCGCAGGTCCGCGCGGCAGCCCGCGGGAAGGCTCGGGCGGAAAAGGCCGGGCGAACGGCCGCGGCCTCAAGATGGCGAGGCCCCGGCCCGCGAGGGCGCAGACGGGAAGGGCGCCCGGCGCCCGGCGACGGCCACGCGGTGCCGGCGACCATTGCGGCGAACCTTCCAGAAAGACCGCTGCCCGACACGTTATCCAGACGAGCAGCCGGGCTTCGGTTTCGCCCCAACAGGTAGCCCACGCCGGCGCCCTCCGAATTTCCGCGCAACTCTGGGCTGGGGGGCGGAGTCAGGGAGTCCCGGGGGCCCCCCAAGGGGCGAACCCGGCAACTCTGCTGGGGACCAGGGCGGAGATCCCGGGGACCCTGCCCCGGCAGACCGAACCCCGCAACTCTCTGCGGAAGGTTCAGTGCCGGGATGCCAGGGACTCACCAGCGAACCCGGCAACTTTGCTATGAAAGCGGGATCAGAGATTCTGGGGATATCGGGGACCCCCTGAAGAGCGGACCCTGCAAGGCCCTGCGGGAGGGCTGGGTCAGGGATCGCGGGGTTCCCGGAACCGAGCGAACTCCCCGCCTCCCTGCTCCGTCCGCGGGATCGGACCCGAGCCCCCGGGAGCGCGGCGTCGGTGCGTGGCTGGGAGCCCGGGCCAGAGCGCGCCGCGGCCGCGGGCGAGCCCCGCCACCTCCGAACCCCGGCCCTGCGTGGCGCCAGCCAGGCCGGAGGGACTTTCCAGAAAAGTTCGGGGCTGAAGCCGGTTCTTGGGGGCCCGCACTCACCTGCGCGGCCATCACGCGCTGTCTCTCGGCAATCAGGTTGCACTTCTTGCACTGGCAGTCCCGCCACATGCAGAAGCGCTTGTGGCCCTTGAGCGGCGACGCGTAGCCGTGGTTCCTGCATCGCGCGCACTTGGGCAGCCGCGGAGACTTCTTGCTCCCGGCACCCCCGCCGGACGCCCCCGAGCAGCCGCCGCCGCCGCCGCCGCCGCTGCCGCCACCGCCACCGCCGCCGCCGCCGCCGCTGCCTCCGGCGCCCGAGGTTACCAGCAGAGCCCCCGCCACTTTGCCGAAGACCGCCGTCTTGCTCTGCGGCGGTGCCCCGGAGGTGTGCGGGGCTTCCGACGGTGCCGAGGACTTGTTGAATGCGTCGTCGTTGGGCATGGTGCCCCCAAGAGAAGGGCAAGCAAGTACGCTCAGGTCGCCGCCTCGGTCCGAAGACCGCTGCAAGGGGAGCACCCCGCCGACGGCTAGGCTCCAGACAAGGCGCAGGAGGCGTCTGCGCTGCAGCTGGAGCTTGAGCCGGTTGGCGAGGTCTGGACACGAAATGCCCAGAGTAGTGGGGGGTTGTGCCCTTTTATATTTTCTTTTGGCGCGCGCGGCGCAGAACTTTTGGATACTTTTCAGAATGTTCCAGGGACTGTCTGGGCGGGAGAGGGCGCGGCCACGCCCACCGGCCCCCAACTCGGAGAGCAGTGCTCCTGCTTGTAAGCTTGCACAGGCTGCAAACACCGAAGGCATTGCTGCAAGGCCGCTGCACGGAGGGAGCTGGGCTCCCCAGGTCTGGAACAAAGTTGTGCATCCTAGCTGTGCAAGCTGCTTGGAGGAGGTGCAGACCACTCCGTGGGGTCTTGTAGCTCCCCTCCCCCAAGGACACCATTCTGCAAGATCGGTTAGGACAGACTTTGGCAGAAGCCAACTGGGAAAGTGGTTTCTTTCTCTCTTAAAAGAATTTAGTATGAGGTTGAAGGCCTGATAAAAAAGAAGTCGCTGCACTTAAACCCGCAAATAAGACCCTCAGTGTGTGTGGGGTTCAAGCGCGCCAAAAATTGGGCCTTTCTCTTCAGTTCCCCTTTCTTGCACTTGTGTTCATGTGCTCACAAGATTTCTACCTGCTGGCATAACTTTCAAATCTGCAGTTCCAGCCCCTGTTGCTTCTCTCACTGAGGTGTATATAGCTTCTTGCTTTCGAGGCAACTTCACTTAGTATCTGCATTCATGTGAAACTCAGCCTTTTAACATACCTCGTGCAGACATTTATCAAAATTCATTGCACACTTAAGATTTGTACATTTTATTGTACGTATATAATTATACCTCCAAAAAACCGTCAATCATCTTACAGCTTTTGCCCCACCCCCACCCCCAGCTGTGTTTGTCTCTTCTCTCTGTACTTTGCACAGCCAACCATCCCTAAAGGCCTGGTGATCATTTCTTCCTACGCACTCTCTGTAAGGACAGCCCTCCTCATGTCTGAATTTCTGCAGTAGCTTCTAGCTGGTCTCTTTGTCTTCCAGTATATTCCATGCACACAGCCGTTAGTCCCTGTAGTAATTTGGTCTTGTTTTCCATATGAAAAAAAACAAAAACAAAAACTAAAGTTAAAAACCTAAGGCTACTGCTTAAAGGATTTAGAATGATCTCCCTCTGCATCTCTCAGCCTCATATAGTCACCTACCAGTTTGGAGGAGCTCTACATCTTTGCTCAGGGCACTTCCCTAACCTTGCCATGGCCATTGTGCAGCCAGGGGGTTGCCCTTACATCTTTCCCCTGTGCTCCTTGCTTTTGTACTGGGGTTCCAAATTCTGGGCTCCAACCCTAGTGGGCTAGGTCAAAAAAGAATCATGGCCATCCTACCTTGGCTTCTCATCAAAATGGTTGTGTAGTGATCCTCTCTTTCACAGATCAGCATTTTCAGCACTGAGCTCTGAAATCCTCTAACCTGCCTTTCCCATTCTTACTCTGAGGCCCCTCTCACAGGCTCTTTCCCTCCCTGGATATTCTCCCTTAGTGTCTTCTATCTGAAATTAGTTCCTAAAGAAGCTTCTCACTTTACACAAACCTCATAACCTACCACCTATCAAGCCAGTGAAGCCCCACTCCTGTTAGAGGCCAGGGTGCCATTCATCTCATTCTGGAGCCTGTTAAATGATAACCACTATTTTGTTTGGGAATATTACTAAGTCTTCCATTAAAACCAGTGTGCCAGCACTGGCCGGTGTGGCTCTGTGGTTGGAGCGTCAGCCCTCAGACCCAGGGGTCATGGGTTAAATTCCCAGTCAGGGGCATGTACTTGGGTTGTAGGGCCAGTGTGAGCATAGGAGGCAACCAGTTGATGTGATGTGAGACACATCAATGTCTCTGTCTCTGTCTCTGTCTCTCTCCCCCCCTCCCCCCCTCACTCTCTCTTAAAAAAAAAATCAATGGAAAAAATATCCTGGGATGAGGATTAACAAGAACAACAACAAACCAATATGCCAATTTCTGTTATCTACAACTTACTTTTCTTTTTCCATATTTACCTTTTACCACATTAACTAGAGTGAATCATTCCCAAGGCTCAGTCAGTTTTAGGAAATGCTGGAAGCAGTGGTTGTCAAATCTCAATTATAGGAGAACACATGTTTCTTATGACCATCCCACCACTAGAATCAAAGATGGAGGAATTTAAGCCTACAGAAGATTTGGGGCCACGAATCTGTGTGACCAAGGTATTAAAACATAAAATGTTGTGATGAAGTTAATAGCCTAAAAAAGTTTTTATTCACAAACCACCGAGGAAATACCAGACATGAGATGATCCCAAATGGAAGAAGGCATGCCCCAAGAATAAACAAAATGGTCCTGGATATTTGGAGTAGTCGGACCCTATTGTATCCTTTCTTTCCTCCCTCTTTCCAGAAACCAACGCCATGAAGGATGATGATGCAGACCTGTATTTATTGAGGTAGAAAGAAGTCCAAGACATACTGCCAATTGGAGGGTAAGGGCAGGTCATTTCTAAAATATGGCAGGGTTAGGCAAAAACTTCTTAGAGATAACACCAAAAGCCCAAACGATAAAAGAAAAAAATTGATAGATTGACTTCATCAAAATTCAAAACTGTTGTGTTTCTAAAGACACCATTTAAAAAGTGAAAAGACAAGCCACAGACTGAGAAAATATTTGAAAATCATATATCTAATAAATGACTTGTATCTGGAATACATAAAGAACTCTGGGAGTGTATAATAAAATGACAACACTCTTGAAATACGGACAAAATTTTGAATAAACACTTCATCAGAAAAAATATTTGAATGACCAATAAGCACATGAAAAGATGCTCGATATTTTTAGTCATTAGGAAAATGCAAATCAAAATAACAATAACATGTCACTTCACACCCACTAGAATGGCTGTAATAAAAACCAGACAGTAGCAAGTGTTGCCTAGGATGTGGAGAAGCTAGAATTCTCCACATTGTTGGTAGGAATGTAAAAAGGCACATTCATTTTGGAAACTGCACCATATGACCCAACAATTCCACTCCTAGATATCTCCCCCAGAGAAATGAAAACATTATGTCCACACAAAGATTTGCACATGAATATCCACAGCAGCATTGTTCTTTTAAAATAATCCAAATGTCCATCAACGGTTGAATGAATACGGAAAACATGGTATACATATACAATGGAATATTATTAAGCCATCAAACCCTGGCCAGTTTGGCTCAGCAGTTAAAGTATCGGCCCGCGGACCAGAGAGAGAGTCCCGGGTTCAGTTCCCACTAAGGGCACATACCTCCATTGCAGTTTGTCCCCTGCCCCAGTTGGAGTAGTGCAGGTGGCAGCCAGCCAATGTGACTCTCTAGCATCGATGTTTCTCTCTCTCTCTCTCTCTCTCTCTCTCTCTCTCTCTCTCTCTCTCTCTCTTCCTCCCTCTCTCCTTCCCACTCTATCGGAAGATAAATGCAAAAATGTCCTCGGGTGAGGATTTAAAAAAAAGTCATTGCCCTGGCCAGTTTGGTTCAGCAGTTAGAGCATCGGCCCGCAGACCAGAGAGTCCCAGGTTTGGTTCCTGCTAAGGGCACGTACCTCGGTTGCAGTTCATCCCTGGCCCTGGTTGGGTTTGTGTGGGTGGCAACCACTTGATGTCTCTCTCTCACACATTGATATTTCTCTCTCTGTCTCTTCCTTCGTCTCTCCCTCCCACTCTATCTGAACATAAATGCAAAAATGTCCTCTGGTGAGGATAAAACAAAACAAAGCAAAACAAAAAAAGCCATCAAAAGGGGTGAAGTAATGATATGTGTTCCAGTAAGAATGAACCTTGAGAACATTATGCTAAGTAAAAGAAGCCAGATTCAAAAAATACCACATATTATGTGTTTCCATTTATATGAAATGCCCAGAACAGACAAATCAATATAGAGAGAGGAAAAACAATTCATAGTTGCCAGGGGGCGGGGGTGGGAATGCAGAGTAAGTGCAAATGGGTATAAAGGATCTTCTTGGGGCAAGGCAATCGTCTAAAATTGGATTGTGGATGCCCTGGCTGGTTTGGCTCAGCGGTTAGAGCATTGGCCCGCAGACCAGAGAGTCCGGGGTTCAGTTCCCGCTAAGGGCACGTACCTTGGTTGTAGTTTGTCCCCAGTCCTGGTTGGGGTCGTGTGGGTGGCAACCACTCGATGTTACTCTCTCACATCGATGTTTCTCTCTCTCTTTCTCTCTCTCTCCCTCCTGCTCTATCTGAAGATAAATGCAAAAATGTCCTCGGGCGAGGATAAAAAAAATAAAATAATAAAATAAAATTGGGTTGTGGTAATGATTACAAAACTCTGTATTGCAAATAAAATGTTTTGTATACTTAAAACAAGAATTTAATGGTGTATACATTATAGTTCAACAAAGCTGTTTAAAATTTTGAATTAAGGACAAAAAACCCATAATGTACAGTATGTTTCCATTTCTGAAAAGGGAACTAACATGTATTTATATCTGCTTGAGTAGGTATTTAATTCTCCCAGGTTATAGGATTATGGGTGATATTCTCCTTTTATTTTGTTTTTGTGCTTTTTCAGAGCAGGTCCATGTTCTTGCTCCCTGTCTCTGTCTCTTCTGCCTTGGTTCGTGGTAAGAACTGACATCTGGATTTGGGCCTCGCCTGCTCGGCCTCAGCCCTGTGGTCCAGCTCACCAGCATTCTTAGTATTAGAACTTGGATCTCATGCTCATTTCACAATAAATTTTTACATGTTTGCTTCCCAGTTACCATCTGAGTTTTAAAACACTTCACAAGCATTACTTTCACCATCGGAAAAAACAAAACAAAACACAATACATTATTTTTTTGGTGAGGCAGTATCACATCATAATTAAATGCCTAGCTTTGAGTCCCA